CTCCCGCGTCTATATTATCCCATTTACTTTGAATGGCAACTTAACATAAGTAATTTGATAGAAATTTGTCCGGTTCTTAATTTATATACCAATGTTACGTAATATAATTTCTCGAATTATCTTCAAACCTTGTGAAATCTGAAATAAACTTTAAAATCAATTGGGGAAAGAATGCGATGCAAATACCGATATGCTGTTCTCTGTACTAAATTCAAAGTCAAATAAATATTTATCATTCTTGCTTGCTTGGTAACAAAGTTTATGTCCATATATACTTACCTACGCCCGCCGATCCCAAAACTTTGCGAGTGAACTTAATTACTTAGAAACTGGAGAAAGTTTTAATTTATCGAGGTCAAATTATGTATTAAGGGACCCACGTGTGTCCCGGATTGAGCGTATAACTTATTAAGGATTAATGCTGAGACTAGGCTAAAAAGCTTCACGTGAACAGAAAGGGGCAACACTTAGGATTGAAGGGCCCGTCTGGGGTAATATCCTTCTAGTTTACTAGGCTGGGTCCTTCGTCCCGTGTGGGCAATGCTCTCAAACTCAAAAATCATTTATTCAGTCTAGGCTGTCACAAGCACTTGTGAAGACCTTGTACTGAAAAGAACCGGCAAGAAACTCAGCAAGGGCTGTTTTTTTCCCCTGTATTATTATATACAGAGTCGTCAAGTAGAAAAATGATTTCATTGACACTTCTGTACCCTTAGTACGAGTTTGAGCTCACGAAAACTATCATCATAGTTTTCGTATTTGTAAATTATGTTTCTATGTCCATTTTGGTGAAAAGTAACCAAATATATTTAAAATTTAGGAAGAAGCAAATGATTTAATGATAGAATTTAAACACTGTTTATTTGTATTGAAACAAAAGCAATAAAAGTAGTACGAGTGCGAGCTCACGAAAACTATCATAGTTTTCGTAATTGTAAAACTCGTTCTAAGGGTACTAAAGTCACCTCCCATTACATCATTTGGAATATAGATATAATATAGTTACAATAACTTTTCAGTATCAGTCAGCGAGGGTAGATAGATGGATAGATATACTCTTCATTCCTCACCCTTGACTCACACATACTGAATTAAAGGGCTTACAAAACAGAGTAAACTATGGTGGGTAAAGGTGGTCTTATCGCTGAAAGCGATCTCTTACAGACAACCTTTAAGTCAAAGGATAGTTTAACAGAGATAGCGGAGTAATGTGCCTGCAAAATATAAAACAAAAATAACAATACATTATATTATGTAAAATACATACAAAACATTAATACCTACATGCACATATATATTTAAATGAGAATATACTAGGGATAAATAGAGTCCCTGCAGCATTGCCAAGTCGACAAGGGGACGTTATTTCCCCGAAATTGTTCACTAATGCAATGGAGGATATGTTCAAGACGCTGAACTGGAAAGGACATGGCATCAACATAAATGGCGAACGCATCTCTCACTTGCGATTCGCAGACGACATCGTCATCATGGCAGCAACTCTGCAGGACCTACAAAAATGCTGAATGACCTGGCTGACTGATCTATACCTACGCATCGGCCTACGGATGAACTTGGATAAAACCAAGGTCATGGTCAATGAACATGTTCTACCGAAATCGATTGCAATACATGGTGCCGTTCTCGAAGTTGTTCAAAAATATGTATACCTCGGGCAGACAATGCAGTTAGGTAGAAACAACTTTGAGGACGAGGTGAATAAAGTGCCTAAAGACGAAAGTCTTCAATCAGTGCGTCCTACCTGTGATGACATACGGAGCCGAGACGTGGACGCTGACGGTACGGCTGGTACACAAGTTCAAAGTCGCTCAGCGCGCTATGGAATGGGCAATGTTCGGCGTTTCTCTGAGGGATCGTATCAGAAATGAGGTAATCCGACAGAGAACCAGAGCTATCGACATAGCCCACCGGATTAGCAAGTTGAAGTGGAAGTGGGCTGGCCATATTTGCCAAAGAACCGATAACCGTTGGGAAAGTCGAGATCTGTCGTGGAGACCGCGTCTAGGCAAACGTAGTGCAGGACGTCCTCAGGCACGATGGAATGATGATTTGCGCAAGGTGGCTGGCAGGAGCTGGATGCGAGTAGCCCAAGATCGATCTGAGAGGCGTGCAATTGGAGAGGCCTATGTCCAGTAGTGGACTAGGATAGTTTGTTTTTTTTATAGCTAGGTAGGCAAATGACTCTACCCCACCTGATGTAAAGTGGTGATAGAGTGCAAACGCGAAGATAGCTGGTACAGCAGTTATAAACTGCTACACCAACCATCCTCACCTTGCCGGCCTTCAAAAATGCTTTTTCACGCCTCTCTTAAAGGACCTCAGATTATAAGAAGGTTTTCGGGAACACGTGCGCGGGTAAAGAATTCCACTTACAAATAGTACGACAAACAAATGAGTCACCAAATTTCTTTGTTCGTGTAGGAATAGTGGCCACAGTAAGTAAGGTGACGGTGGGATAAGGGAGAATAGCTCCTCAGAACACTCGCCGTGTTATAGTCGGTAGATTGCGCTTAATGATACCACATCGCGGCGTAATTGGAGAGACTCGAGTTTCTTCTCTACTCTTCATAGCCACTGATGCGGGCAGCGCGCCGCTGAAACCTATCCAAGGCATCGAGTAAGTACTTAGCGGAGCCATCCCAGAGGTGCGAGCAATATTCCACACTTGCGTTTTGTACAACAAGCACAGTTGATCGGGTGTGAAAAACCGCCGCACTTTGCTCAGGACTCCGAGTTTGCGTGAAGCTGTTTTGATCACGGTTTCGATGTAGTCCTTTAGATTCAAGCCTGAGCGAACTTCCATACCGAGCATGGTAATGTTGCTCTGTAGCGAAAGTGTTGTGCCCTGAAGAGAGGGAAGGGAAAGGAATGGCGACGTTCTTGCCGTGAAAGCGCAAGCCTGAGTTTTCTTGTCATTGAACTCAACCAAGTTCCTGGTACCCCATTCGGAAATGTGGTCCAAAGCCTGATTAAGTTCAACGACAAGATTGTCCCGTTTCTCCCTGGTGTCTACCTGTCCAGCCGCTGCGTGTTCAAATTATCTCGCATGCACTGGACTATCGTCTGCAAAGCAATTAATATTCACAAGTGGAATCAAATCATTGATATGCAGCAGAAAGAATGTGGGGGATAGAACGGAGCCCTGAGGAACACCGACATTCACTGACATGAACTGCGAAGTACATCTGTCTGTAAGGACGCGAATTCTACGTTCATACAGGAAGTCAGCTACCCAGGCGCAGAGTAGAGTAGGCAGACCGTATGCAGGAAACTTGGAGGCTTTTGTGCCAGACCCTGTCAAAAGTCTTGGCGATGTCAAGGCTAATAACCACAGACTCCCCGCTTGTCTACAGCTTCACCCCAGATGTGTATCACGTACGCTAGAAGGTCACCCGTCGATCGATTCGGCCTAAATCCGTGTAGACGATCGTGAATCAGTGAGTAATCTTCTAGGTAGCTAGGTCAGATGGTTGTTAAGGACCCTTTCTAAGACTTTACACAACACTGAGGTGATAGCTATCGTTAGCCGGTCGGGTGGGCACCGGTTGCACATTGGCATCTCTCCAAGCCTACGGCACACGCCTCAAAGAGTAAGAAAGTTGGTACAATCTGCACAATGTTTTGGTACAACTGCTGGGATGCCATCGGGTCCACCAGCTTTCCGGACGTCGAGTGATTGCAACTCCGCACGAACATCACGCTGCCTGATTTTAATTTCGGGCATCGTAGTGCCACAATGAGGTAGTGTAGGTGGCAGTGCATTGCAATCACTGATTCGGGAGTTAGCCACAAAGAGCTTTGCCAACAAATCGGTTTTCTCTTGCGGCTCATGAGCCAGTGACCCATCTGGAAATCGCAGAGAGCAGCGAGGGCTGGCAGAATTTGTGTTGCACGGCCTTAGCCAAACGCCAAAAACTACGGGACCCCGTAGGGTGCGTTAACAATTCGTGGCCAGTACGTGCTACACGTTGGGCATCCGTTCTCATGTAAGCCTTCTTACACGACTTGGAAGCACTATTATAGGCAGGTTTCAGTGAGTCAACCCCGGGGTCTTTAAGAGCACGGCCTCTGATCCAATCGCGATATGCCGCCTGCTTACGAAAAACAGAAATGAAATGTTGATGAAGCGTATATAATATATACTAGTTGACCCCGCGTACTTCGTGCGGGTTGAAATAATTTGGAAGAAATGACGGACCCGAGTCTACCGTCCCAAAGGGGACGAACGTCAAATATTTTACAGGAAAGAAGATATAACAGTTTATATGGGAAAATTAAATTGACGTTTTTACTATCTTCCTCTCAATTTTTCCATATTGTCTCACCTTTTAAACCTTCCCAAGACCTCCACGAATATTTCAAGACCAAGATAAGATAAATCCGTTCAGCCGTTCTGGAGTTTTAGCGAGACTAACGAAAAAGTTAGTGCTGACTCTTTCTATGCGATGAAATAAGAATAAGACAACATGTGACTTTAAATGACATTAGATTTATTCTTTTTCGAACGACTCTTATAGTTACTAGTAAATAGTTTATTTTTTAATGTAGGTAATTGTTTAGATAGCCGTGCTTTTACATTTTACGAATAAATTTACAAAACCGTAATTAAACATTTATAACCACAATGAGTTGAAAATGTGCACCTATAAAAGACCTTTTTTACTTCTTTTTAATGATATCTGGAATGAAGTATCGGGAGTTTTTTAGCAAAGGTTGGGTGAAGGTACTACTACGGAATTGAGGCAATTGAATCACCTCATTTATCTCAGATACATACACAGGCCGGGACATCTATTTGGCTTGGCGCATAAGGGCCCTATGCCTGCGCCTATTCTTATTAGAATAGTACCACAGGCCTTACTCATTTTAGTTAATAACAAATAAATGGTATAATGTATTATAATTGTTTCGTAAATTCAGGTGAACAATGATACCCGATGGAAAACAAAATTTAAGAGTAAATAAATTCCTAGAGTAACTTATGTCTTCAGGTCTACCCTGGGAGTAATTCTGAGGTAAATGCCGCTGTAAGACTGGGTGACGATGGAACGGGGGTTGAATTCGAGAACTGAGGGCATTCCTTCTGCTAACTCGACGTTGTGCTTCTTCAGAAGAGCCACCAAACCAGCCAGTACTTGCATCTTTGCGAATCTCATGCCTGTCAACAAACGATAATAACATTAACACCATGCCATTTACTATTTAGAGAATATTCAGTCTATTGCTTGTTGTTCTCGCGTTGGAAGACGAGGATGAACACCAAAATTGAACGCAAGAAATGTGAATTACCTTTCTTACAAATAGACTACAAGGCTGTAGTTATAATAAAAAGTTCCAAACTAGTATAGTGTCGCTTGTTTCATGATATTTTTACATTTTAGATATTCTACGAACTTCAACTACAGATATGCAACGTGGAAATTATTGTTTCCACCTCATTCCAAAACGCGGACAAAAGTTGGTCTTGGTTTAAACCTAATGTTGTCTGTGTCTTATTTTTAGCAAACAAAAGTGTCAGCATTAATTTTGGCCCAGGTTTAACTTAAGTAATATTGCTGTTCATGTTTCATATAGTAATAAGGATTTTAGGACTTACCAATGCAAATTCTGGCGCCATCTCCGAATGGAATGTAACTGTGGGACACAATTTTGCTCTTCTCGGGTGGTAAAAATCTCTCTGGACGGAACTTCTCTGGTTCCGGGAAGTAATCGGGGTTGCGATGCATATGATATGCAGGTATATGTACGCGCACGCCTTTGTGCACCGTCAGGCCGGTCGGGAAAGTGTACTCGTCCATCACCTCGCGCGTGATTACAGCCAACACCGGGTATAGTCTCAGGGCCTCGTCAACACAAGCCTCCGTATAAGGCAGCTCAGTAACGCACTCATATTCCAGTTTATTGTGATGTCTTATTAAGAATTCATCAATTTCCGCCTGGACCTTCTTCAGAATGTCAGGTCTCTTCGCCAACTCGAACAGAGTGTAGCTCAACGTTGTCGCAGACGTCTCGTAACCAGCAGCGAAGAAAATAACGCATTGGGCTATCAAAAAATCGTCTGTCACCGGCAACTGCAGTTTTTTATTGTCATTAGTTTTAGTATTTGCGATGCAATCACCGACCAGAAATTCCTTCTCCTTCAAAAGAAGAAGGAGGTCTACAAAATCATTTCTCCCCGCTGTCTTGTATTGACGTCCTGCGAAAACTTCGGCAAGGAATTTTTTGAAGAAGTCACTCGAAGTAGGTGGGAAATTTCTAAAACCAAGCATATAGAAGATCTTGGGCCAAATGGCTCGACCTATGTTAATACAACCTCTTATAGTGGATGCCTCAAATAGCACTTTGCCCATTTTAACAAACGGGTTGGATTCATGCTCTTTAGCAAATGTATTTATGTCTACTCCAAACGCACAGGAACATATGCACGCCATAGTATATCTTGCCATAAGGTCTCTAATATCACACTTGTTCAGAAATTTCGGATCATTGTCGAGTAATTGTTCCAATTCGATCGCACACTTTTCAATAAGATGGAACATGTTCTTCATTTTAGAAGAAGAGAATAGTGGGGTTAAATTTTGACGTGCCACTTTCCATTTGTCACCACCATCGAAGAAAAGATTCTGAGTGATGATCTCCTTGTTCGTGTAGTTGCTGATTTCCCTACCATGGAAATAGTAGAAATCTTTTGTGGTAACCAGTTTCACCATCTCAGGATCCTGCAGGATGAGCACGGGCTCCGTCCCATAGTACGCACCAACGTAAGGTTCTTTAGGAAACTTTTGTAAAATCTCATGGGTAACAGTTCCTAAAAACTTTTTGAGGAATATATAATCACCATAATTGCCGACTATAGTGGACGGCTTTAAATGCGGAACCTTCTGTTTCTTCCAATAGTCAAATTTACGTCGTGATAAATACCATACTAAGAAAATTGCAGTTGTAACAATTGATAAAGTAACCACTAAAAACATGATCACTGAATAAGAAGTCGTTTCAATATGTGATATCACGACTTTGTAAACAGTTTTTTTGTATCACTCATAATGCGTGCGACGTTCACCATATCTTGACATAAGATAAGGGACAACGATAAGTTATTTATTATGACTTTTTAGGGTTCCATACTCAAAGGGTAAAATGGAACACTATTGCTGTCATTCTGTCGTCTGTCTGTCTGTCTGTCCGTTTGTCCATGTGAGAGGGTCCCATACCTGAAAAGGAGACAAAAATATTTGTTTTTCCTCTTAACAACAGCATGTTTCATATAATTGTTTTTAAAAATTGGTTAAGGAACGTTACTTCTAGCTGAATGCGAGCGAGCTAGCGAGCCTTCACAACGACATTTCGTCGTGTTAATGGGAAAATCAACTAAATCTCCAAATAACAGAAATGAGATATTTCATTTGAAAAGTTTGACAAGGAAAATCTCTTGTTAATTATCGATTTTGTGACTTGCGTTAAACATTATTGTATAAAACAAATATTTGTCTTATAAGTTCAGTAGCTTTTGTATTCCTGGAGTCCCCATACCAACCCCATAAAATTAAATTTTATTGTGATTTTATCCCCCCATTTAGTGGTTTTTTCCTGTATAACACTAAACTATATATTTTATAAAATAGAGCTCCAGTGAAGTTTTTGCTATTTTTTATGTTGGTCCATATATTAACGCGACTTAAGACTTGCCTAGACCACCATCAACAGCAACTGTCCTGATGCTTCTAGTGAAATCTGAAATGTATACTTGGCAGATCATAATACACGTCAACAGCTTAGTGTTCCTTTAATAAATAAAAAAAACCTCCTTAATACTGGTACATAAAGCGAAGGAATGTCAGGGATGAAAACATAGCCAAATTCCATACTTTTTTTACACACATATACATTTGTTCTAATAATCCATACTTCCATACACATACATCATCATCATCATCATCATCATCAGCCTATTAATGTCCCCACTGCTGGGGCACAGGCCTTCCCTATGGATACACATACACTTGTTGATTAATGGTAAAAAGGCTATTTGCTCTAAAGCTCATACTTTCTGTGCGTAAAAATCTATAATCATTTGCCTCATATCATAAAAAAAATAGCATTTAACTTGTTTAAACGTAAATTACATGCCTGGCTTGTCTACAAATGTTATTCTAATACAATTGTTAGTGTATGAATGTAAATCAATTTAAATAATGAAAATGAAATTGTTGACTTCTAAGAAATTAATATGCGTTGTATAGTGCCTACATAATATTTTTTGACATATTATTGTAACTGCAATTTATTATGATTTTATTAATATTATACAAATAAGGGCTATGTAAATCAATTCAAATTGTAAAAATGAGGTTGTTGGCTTACATAAAATTAACGGATATTGTACCTACTGATGATAAGATGCGGATGTGATGTGAATATCTATTGACATTTTATTTTATCAAATTACTAGATTTTTTATTTTGCAAATAAGTAAATTAAAAATGTATATTTCAATTACTTTTTGCATGCTAGAAACGGCTAATTTTGCGCTCTGATCTTATAATTTAAAAACATCATTGTAACCACAATTAATGCAAATAAATTTCATTTCATTTATCTGTTTATGTTTTGCTACATCTGTTTATGTTTCGTCATACAAAGCAACACAAAATGAATAATAAAAAGAAAATGAAAATTGAGTTGGTTTTACTCGACCATATGTAGAGACACATTTAGATGTTTAACTGAAATTATTGCTGAATAATAACCTTTTGGGGGACTTCAATGCCAAACATCTGGTTATCGGTTCCACAAGAACAAGTCAAGAGAGGGAACCAGGAGTGGCATTCTGTAAAGTCACATTTCACTTTCGAGCGCGGATCCGTTTCGGATTTTATCATTGGCATTCTGTAGTCAAGTGAAAATCAACGCTAGCGCTACTAGGCGAGAGTGGCGGTGAAATGAACTAACGCAGGATATAGCTTGACAATATGCTCAAGGATTTGAAGTTTAATGGCATTCTGTAACGAATTTTACACTCACTTTCGGATCCGCACTCGAATTGTTATGTCAAAGTGACTTAGTGTGTAGCTATGGCAATCAATCATACAAACTTTGCTAATAAATTACGATTTTTGTTTATAGAAGATCTTTTAAAGTAAGTATTTTTAATGTAGGTCTCATTGTTTATTTAATAATTCAAAAACTCATGTCCACCTATTTTTTCAGATCTCACTCTATTGCCTTGTGCTTAATATTAATGTCAAGAAGTATAAATAAAATTGCCTCAATTTTAAGTCATCCAGACATCGTAAAAATATATAACATTTCTGCGAAATGCATCTCAACACCAAGTGTTAAAGGAACAGTAAGTAAACTCTGATTAACTAGAATAACCAATAAGTTAAATATTATATTATAAATCAAGTAGACCAGTGTTTCTTATAACTTTTACAATCCTGGAACAATATCAGAATTCTAAAAAATCTATGAGCCCGTGTCTTAAAGTATTTTAGGTAATGAAATCATAAAAAAATACTTTTATTGGCAGTTTCTTTAGTAAAGCAAATATTATATGAGCTATTCTTTACCTTTGTTACAGTTTTTTTGAGAAATTTCAAATACCTGGAGTTGTTGTTTGCATAGATGGTATCTTTGTCACCATGATACGACCCAAAGAAAATGAAGAAGGGTATTATTGTCGTAAAGGTAAGCATGCAAGAAATGTTCAAGTAGTAAGTACACCTTTAACTGATTTTCATCTATTTGTTACTTTCTTAAAACTTGTCATGTTTCATGAACATATAAATATATAAATTTATGTAAAGATAAATTAAAAGACTGGAATTAAATTTTGTAAATATTTTGTTACAGATTGTTCATGCCGATCTCAATGTTTTGCATGTCGATGCCTCATTTGTTGGAGCTAGCCATGATAGCTTTATTTGGCACTGAGGTTCTTAGAGAAATCTTTAGCTAAATCTCTATTAGCTGCCAGGAACTCGATCAAAACATTAAGTTGCTCTACAGAGGGATGCGACGATTGTGACACCACTGCAAAAAACAGAAATGATTTTAATATAAATTAAAACTTCAGTAATCAAAACCATATTTTATTTAACTTACTTCATCTCGCCTCTCTTCTACAGTTTTTCAAATGACCCAAAAACAAACTAA